TCCACGCCCAAACTCCCTCCCTCATCCCACTCCCTCAACCCCGTCTCTTCATCTCCAAAGCTCCCTCCCTCATCTCCCTGCCTCATCCTCCTCCCTCCCTCCCTCATCCTCTTCCCTCCCTCATCTCCCTGCCTACCTTCCTCGACCACAGACCGCAACACAAGATGCTTACGGTCATCTCCCTCTCTCTCCCTCTCCCTCCCCCTTCTTTCCCCTCCCTCCCTCCATCTCCCTCTCTCCCCCTCCATCTCCCTTTCTCCCCCTCCTCTCCATCCCTCTCCCTCTCCCTCCCTCCCTCCCTCTCCCTCCTCTCTCCCCCTCCTCTTCCTCCCTCTCCCTCCCTCCATCCCTCTCCCTCTCTCTCCATCTCCCACCCTCCTCTCTCCCCCTCCTCTTCCTCCCTCTCCCTCCCTCCATCTCCCTCTCTCCCTCCCTCTCCCTCCATCTCCCCCCCTCCTCTCCCCCCCTCTCCCCTCCCTCTCCCTCCCTCTTTCCCCCTCCTCTTCCCTCTTCCTCAGGTGAACCACAGACTCCAAAAGGGAGGAGGGGGGGGGGGAGAACCTACGTCTTCACCCTTGCTCCACTAGACACCTGAGAACACCCTGTAGGGACGTGATGACAGGGTGATTGACAGGTCCGCAAGCCTGGCATAATTGAGTGCCAGGACGGATGGGGGGGGGGGGGCGAGAGGGAGGAAAAGAAGGGTGGAGGCGGAAGATGAGAAGGAAGAGGGGGGGGAGGAGGAGGAGGAGGAGGAGGAGGTGGAAGGGGAGGGGGGGAAAGGAGGAGGGGGAAGAGGGGGACGAAGAAGAAGAGGAAAAAGAGGAGGAGAAGGAGGAGGAGGAAAAGGAGGAGAAGGAGGAGGAGGAGGAGGAAAAGGAGGAGAAGGAGGAGGGGGATGAAGAGGGAAAAGGGGAGGAGGAGGGGGAGAAAGGAGAATTGGAGTTGAGGAAAAGGAGACAGGGAGGGTTAGTGAAAGGAGGAGGAGGGATAAAGGGTAAGGGGGGGGAGGCGAAAGGGGAGGAGAGATAATGGGTAAAAGGAAGAGGAGGAGTAGGCAGGAGGTGGAAAAGAGAAATGGAAAGTAAGGAAGAAGAAAAGAAGGGAAAAGAAGGGGATAGAAAAAGGGATAAGAGAAGGAGAAGAAGAGAAAGAAGGGAGATGGAAAGAGAATAAGAGGAAGAAAGAAGGGAATCCAAAAGAAGGAATGGGGGGGGGAGTATAAAGGAGTAGAAAGAGGGTAGGGGGGGGGAGGGGAATTGGTCTCGAGAAATGAAGATGGAGGAAGGGAGGGGGGGGGAGGGAATAAGGGAAAAGGGGGGGAGATGAAAAGCGGGGGGGTGGGGTGGGGGGGTGAGTGGGGGGAGTGACTTCTATGCCGTTAGAATCGGTAATGAAACTTTTGCGGTTGTTTTGTGTTTGTTTGTTTCTTTCTTTCTTTCTTTCTGTGTATGTTTTCGTTTGTTTGTTTTGTTAGCAAGGAATATGTCTTTATCCTCATTACTTTTTTGTTGTTGTTGTTTATTTGTTCATCTGCTTCTCAGTTCCTCACTCTCTCTCTATATATATATATTTTTTTTTAATATTAACTTACTGTACATAACTTGTATCTACATGTTTATCAGTCTCTCTATTTATCAAACATTCAAATTATCTGACTGTCTTCCTATTTATATGTCTGCACTTATATATGTATTTGTCTTTCTTCATCTGTCTGTCTATCATCTCTTTACTTATTGTCTATTTCTACATCTATCTATCTATGGGGCTATATATTTCGACATGTATGGCTTTATTTGTCTATCATTGTATTTTTATGTCTATCTATCTGTCTATCTTCTCTCTCCATTTGTATGTCTACTTATTCAGAGGGAGCTGTATGTTTTTATGCATCTATCTGTTTATCTATCTATCTATCGATCAGTCAATCTGTCCTTTTATATTTCTCCCTTTTTCTTCATTTGTTTGTTTCTCTATCTATATATGGATCTATTTAACAGTTTATCCTTCTATGTCTGTTTTTCTGTCTGTCTGTCTTTTTGTCGGTCGATCTGATAATACAGACAGACCTACAGGTAAATAAAAATCTTTATCTTTGTCAATGTACATATATCTGCATATGCATATGTCTTGATGTGTGTATACATATATACGTATATTTGTGTGTGCGTGTATGTATATATATATTCATATTTATATAGATAAAGGAATATATATATATATATATATCCATTTCTTTATCTATTTATCTATCAATCTATATACATAGATAGGTAGGCAAATATCTATCTATCTATCTATCTATCTATCTATCTGTCTATATATACATATATATATATATATATATATATATATATATATATATATATATATATATATATATATATATATACATATATATATACATATATATATGTATATATATATATATATATATATATATATATATATATATATATATATATATATATGTGTGTGTGTGTGTGTGTGTGTGTGTGTGTGTGTGTGTGTGTGTGTGTGTGTGTGTGTGTGTGTGTGTGTGTGTGTGTGTGTGTGTGTGTGTATAAACACACAAACACACACATACACACACACACA